AAAGACATCTTCCTTCTTCCGTGCTTCTTTTTGTGCATCCGATAATGCAGCAGGAATTTACCATTATCGGGGAGAAATACACGAGGTTACGCACTGTGTTTGACCACTACCGTGTTTCTTGCCTCTGACCAAAATATTTCCCATCATGCAATGCGGGCTTTTAATAACAATGAACTTGTTCTGTTCATCTTCCTCACTACACTCAGTACATGCATTTCCCTTTCCTCAGCCTCACATTACAAACAGAAGTGTGAAGAATCCCTCCATCGTCCAGATAGAATCCATCGCGAGGAGAAAATTCAGTTTGTTGACTGGACGAAAGTTAGTGTGGTTGAAGACATTTGCTGCTTCTTCAGCTTTGGTCAGCATTCACCACCAGCGTCTAACCAGAAATGAAGAAGCAGCAAACGTCTTCAGCCAAACTAACTTTTATCCAGTCGACAAACTGAATTTTCTCCTCGCCATTACAAACAGAAATATGGCTTATCTGGTAAAAAACAGTCATCAAAAATTTGGAGAATATTGTGGGAAGTGATTTTGACATATGTATAAGCAGTGTTGGGGAGTAACAGATTACATGTACCGGAGTTATGTAATCAGAGTACAAATTATGAGTAACTGTATTCAGTTACAGTTACTGTTTCAGTGAGTGGTAATTGGATTACAGTTACTTTGCTGCAATAAATGGATTACACAGCAGTATTTTCCTGTTTTCAAAATTTGGGCTATATCCTTTTTTTTTTTTCCCTGGTAATTTGACTCATTCTCAGAAACTAAACCAGGTCTAAACTAGATCTAAACCAGGTCTAAAACCAGGACCAAACCAGGTCTAAACGAGGACTAAATCAGGACTAAAACAGGACTAAAACAGGACTAAAAGCAGGTCTAAACTAGATCTAAAACAGGTCTAAAACCTGGACTAATATAGAAAATATAGTGGCTTTATTATTTTTAGAGTTGATATCATTGCTTACAATCATGATTAAAACTACAGAATATCTGGACATCCACAATATACAGTATCCTGTATCCTGTATTACCACATGATATCACTGAAGGATATCTAGTTTACATTAAGCCTTATTAAAATGTTCATTCTTTTTTCATTGAATCTCTGGTGAAATGTGTATAAGGCTGCGTTCACACTGCAGCCTGAAGTGACCCAAATCCGATTTTTTGGCTTCTATGTGACCTGTATCCGATCTTTTAATGACACAGATCCGATTTTTTCAAATGTGGCCCAGGCCACTTGGATATGTGCTCCTGAAACCGACACATATCTGATCTTTTGACATGCGACTTCAGTGTGAACGGCCAAAGCTCATTCATTCGACCTACACGTTATCAACAAGCCACAAACGTCACTATTCTGCGCTGAAGTAGGTGAAAATTATTAATGAACTCCGTGTCACTGAAGTGAAGCACATCACCACTCACCACTCTTGGCTACGTCTCCACATCCACACGTTCCTTTCAACAGACGTCGCTGCCGCTGTCCCACAAAACGCCATGGCCAAAAACCTCGTCCTTCTCCTTCTCAATCTCCTCCTTAAAACAAGTAAGTTGTTCATGTTCTGGCTCCGGTACGAGAGGAACTTTAAAATCGCCAGGTGCTCAATGCTTCGTCCATGTTTTGACAACTTCCGTAAACACAGAGCACGCTCACTGCGGTTGACGACATCGTGTCTCCAGTGCACAGGTGGGACACTTTCGGGCCGTTTAACTTTCACACAGGGGATCACATACAAGTCGCATTTAATTGGAAATGTGAACGACTTCGCAAAAACATTGGATTTCACAAAAAAATCGGAATTAAGCGTTAAGCCCTGCTGTCTGAACGTATCCAAGAAGCCTACCAGCTATAAAAATACAAATACTACAAGTGGGTGAGTGACTCATTTGGCATAATAATTCAAACCACTGTGGAACATTCTAAACAACAACATATGGAGACAAGCAGGTGGCGGAACCTCTACCAGAAAAGTTACAGGGCGTATTTTTTAAAGCCCAAACTAATAAATAATGAATGAAAAGTAGAGGGGCCTAAACACGTGCTTGGGTGATTCCTCACAGATGCTCTGCATGTATCCGGGTTTGGATTCGTTCCCTGGGGCTGCTCGGTCACGCCGCTGCTCGCCCCACCGCTCTGAGCCCTGGCAGCACAACACACACACTTGTGCGTCGCGGTGTGGAGAACATCTGCGCGCTGACCACACCAGCTCCTCTCCGCAGAAGACCAGAGGACAGGCGGATCTGTGTGAGCAGAGGGCACTGCACATTCACATGCTCTCATCTGCTGACACCACCTTACATTTTAGTCACAGTGAACCCCAGTGTCCCTTTTACCAGAGTGTAGCCGGTTCATATTACTTACTGTACCGTTTAGAAAGTCTGCATGTGGCTTTTGAAGAGGTCATCTGCTTTTACACAACACTCTTTGTACAAATACTAATTGTATTCTCCAGTTATATCTGTAAATAAAAACAGGAGAGTTTTGTTAATATGGGTGTTGGACCAAACAGAAAGGCAAAGACAAAGTATAAAAATAAGTTTAAATTTAATAAAGTCCAAAAAAGATATAATTTAACAAAGGCTCAAATTAGGCATATTATTAACAAAAAAAAAGCTGGGCCCAACTGGGGTAACTCCAAATCAAACTGAACAGAACAAAACTAACCCAACCAGACAAAGGAACAGGGGTGTTTAAATACCTGAGGGCCAACTAAAGCTAAACACAAGAGGGAGGAATTACACTATTAATTAAACTACTATATATATTACAGAAAATAAGTGATAATAAAGTGACCTCAACACAAACTAAACAAACTTAGTAAAACAAACTAAATAGTGCTCCCCCCTTTGCTGAATCCTGATGGTCTCTCCCAGGGTCCTCCGTCCGGTGCTCAACAAAAATAAAAAAAGTAGGGGTGTGCAAAAATATTGAAATATCGATATATCTTATCGTTTAATGTGATGATACAGGATCGATATCATCGGCTGCTGTATTGATATATCATCAAGAGTATTTTTTGCTGCATTTTACTAAATTATTTTGTTACAGAGCTACAGTTTTGTTACTTGTTCAGAGGAAGGAAACTCATTTATGTGACACATTTGACATTTTTACCGTTTTGACGATTAAAATGTTTGTGTTTCAGAAGAACTTTGCACAGGAAGTGATTTAACAAAAACTTTTAGTATCACAGACATGATTTAGCAATTATGTTTTATTGTACTGTATGGAATTGATCTGAAATATATCTTATTGAATCGTATCGAATCGAAAGCTCACTGTATCGAGATATGTATCGTATCCTGGCCTATGTATCGAGGTGTGTATCGTATCGGCATCTTCTTAATGATACCCAGCTCAAAGAACAAGTTTAAGTAAATTAGACTTATATTAACTAAAATACGTGCACTCAAATTAGAATATACAGTAAATCTAAATAAAGGAATTAAATTATGTGTAATGTAATTAACTTAATGTAAATAATGCTAATTAAATAATACTGACACTATGGAGCGGTGGCAGAGGGATCCACCACAAGGGGCACGTGGTGTTTTTTGTAAATTGGCCAAACCCTTTTATGATAAACAACTCATTCATTGCTGGATTTTATTGTAAAAAGAATGTGAAGTCTGAAACATATTGCCAGTCAGTTTTAGTGGACATGCAAGCCTGCTTATAGCATAACCAAAATGAAAAAAAAAAAAAATTATATATATATATATATATATATATATATATATATATATATATATATATATATATATATATATATATATAAAATCCTGTTTTTGGCAAAAAGATTACATAAGGTTTTTATGTAAACACTAGAATTACCGTTCTGATAGACCTAAATAGGCCTACTAAAAGAAGTGGGTAGTACTCAATTATATTTACTCAGTTACATTTACTTATTTTTAGTACGGTACTTTTCAGAGCACTTTTCTAGCAGGATACTTTTACTCCTGCTTGAGTAATATTTTTATTTATGTGTAGCAGAGGGGGGCGGGCTATAAAGGGGATCCCCACTTTCATGTATTTATTTAGGTAAGTCTGGCTAAAACACAGGACAAATGTAATAAATAGTGGCAAAAAAATACAATTCTTTATTTTAGTTAATATTAAGAGTTAATTTTACACATTTAAAAAAACAGTATATTCAAAAAGGTGCTGTAGTATATTTCTTTCAGATGTAAAGTGTTAGGTGCGTGGTCTTAAGTGCTGTGACTTTAGATGTTTTAAAGTGCAAAGTGCTACTACACTGCACTATTGCACAAACCACCCCAGCCAATAAATACACACTACAGCAGGTATACTAATTCTACATACTTTGAGAGAGAATTTAAGGTTTACGAGACAATATCAAGAGAATTTGAGAGCAGAAACAAACATTAGCTTGCGCAGCCTTTTCTAATCTCTAATCAGTGACTCCGGGACAGTCACAGTAGAAAAACAGTCAAACCACCTGGTTACATGTAACAGTACTGTAGTAGTTGTGGTTACTTGTAGATGTACTAGTGACAGAAGCTTTATGTGACATGAAATGATTTGAACATTCGTGTTTCTTGAAGCACTCCTTCACATATGATTACTACTCTTTATTTTGAGATTTTTTTTAAATTTCTTTTCAAAAGATATTTTTATCTTTTCAAATACAGAATTGTGTGCATTATTTCATGTTTCATAATTTCAATTACATTCACTTTAAATTATAAAGGAAATGTCCCGTCCTACTCTTACTTGAGTAGTTGTTTTTCCAAATACTTTTTTACTCTTATTTGAGTAATTTCTTGGACCACTACTTTGTACTTCTACTTGAGTAATATTATTCTGAAGTAACGTTACTCTTACTTCAGTACAATTGTTGGTTAAGTTCATGTGAAACACATGGAAAGCAAAAACTTTAGCCCCGCCCATGCTACGGAACCAAACACCCCGCCCCTTATATAAAAGCCTCCCTCCCCCGCTCAGAGCCGAGTTGAGACAAACTTCCACATCGCTCTACTAAACTGCGCTCAGCTCCAGAGTCCCGCGGAGGTGGACGGACACATGTGTGAGCCCAGAGCCGCGTGAAGCCGCTGTCTTAACCCCGGAGAACCGCTGCCAATGCGCGGAACTATAACCCCCCTCGCCTTTGTACGTTTATATCCCCAAACATGAACAGAAAACACCGGACCTCCACCCCTACTCCCGCGGCCTCTCTCCTCTTTCTTACCGGGATGCTGGTGCTCTCGAGCGGGCACCGGAGCAGCTGTCTCCCGCTGGAAGGAGAGACCGCTCCGGGGACGACACGCTCCGCCGGTGCTAAGGTTTTCTCCGCGTACTTCCAGAGGCTAACCCGGGAGAGGAGGACGACGACACCAGGAGCCCGGTCCAGCAGTGTCTCTCCCCGGGTCGTGGAGCAGCTGTCCCCCGCTGACCTCTTCATAGCGGTGAAGACCACGGGCAGGTACCACCGCTCCCGACTGGAGCTGCTGCTGGAGACGTGGATGTCCCGGAGCATGGCGCAGGTGAGGGTGAGGGGTGAGGGGTGAGGGTTCAACACCTCAAACAGTGGTGCACATAGACTGTAGAAGATGTATGGAGCAGTGACGTTTTGCACTTTTCAAATGCTCAAAAAGTGAAAATATAATGACTTGCAAAATGTGTAGATTTATTTTATTTTTTTTTGGTATATTTAAGTGTATATTTTATCATTTCATATATATACTCCTAGAAAAAAAAAAAACTTTGAAAAACATTTTTCTGCATTTAACGCCAGGGACATCGTAAAAGTGTCATTTGGTGCAACGGATTTATTGTTAAAATTGTATCAAATTTAAAATAACTTTATTGAAAATGATGAAAAACAAAAAACTGAGAACTACAAATAAACAGTTTGCTATAAAAAAAAGTTTTTATTTGCCCTAATACAGCATTAACCCTTAACTCTGGTACCATTTAAAACATTTGAAAATTGAATTAGACTTAAGCATGTTAGCGCTTTCCCTCTTTAAATTTAAGATCTTATGTAAATATATATATATATATATATTTATGATAAACAAACTTTTTTGATACTTTTCACAGTAATTTCAGTGTTTCACGGCATGACATCTGCCGTACAGTCTATGGTGGCACCTCAGATGACAAATGAACTATAGTTTGATTGTCACTGGCTTATGCTGAAACAAGTTATTTTATGGTTTTAACTTGTTCAGGCTACAGTCTTTTAGCCTGATTCATCAGCCAGTTTTACTTTGCTTCACTTCGTAGAAACAGTCTGACCTCGCAGCCTTAGATTTCGTTAGCTCTGCGGTAGGCGGGTACGTTTTTATCATTTAACAACGCTGCTATTTGGTCGTGATGTATGTAATGCGCCGCTAACAGGGCTAACTGGTATATTAAGCTTTTCCCAAATCCCGTTGGAAGAAGGACAATAACGTCTTTCCCCTTGATGAAATTCACCAAACATTCTCTTTGTTCCGGTTTTAAATCCTTGATCTCAAGAATCAATGGCAACACTGAATATATGGCTCTTCGCTGATTGACTTCTGCCCGAACTTGCACTTCCGGGGTTTTTGCGAACCATCTAGTAGGAGTGTGCAAAAATATCAAAATATTAATATATTGTATCGTTTAATGTGCTGATACAGTATTGATATCATGGGCTGCTGTATCGATATATCGTCATAAGTATTTTAGGTATATTTTTACTAAATTAGTTTGTGTAAGAGCTACAGTTGTGTTGACATTTTCACTGTTTTGAGTAAAATGGATGTTTTTCACATTCACTTTTCACAAACTTGGTAGACTTTTAGTATTAGAGCCATCATTTTGCCTTTTTTACACTGAACCGTATCAAATCGATGTGAAATATATTGTATCGAATCGTACTGAATCGAAATCTCACTGTATCGGAAAGTGTATCACATCGTGGCCTATGTATCGTATCGGTAACTTCTTAATGATACCCAGCCCTACCATCTAGTGTATTTTGATTCCTGACCTAGTCGCTGGAGAGAAATGAAATTAAGTGGAGGCACTAGGTGGTGCCAGCCTGGCTAACAGGCTTCGCATTTGAAGAGTTAATTAATTTGAGCAATTGAGCTGCTCTTTGTATAGTAGTGTATTCAACAAAAGCAAAAATACATCATCAAGTCTAGTAATTGGTGGGTTTCAGATGACATCACAACATTGTATAGGCCATTGTTATTTAATACAGATGGAGGGGTTTAGTCAATCACCAGGTTCAACATTTGTGACTTTACCTTTTGGATATTCCACAAAAGGGACATCTGGGAGTATGACATCATCACATTCAAGAATCTGAAAACCACCAATATTTAAGAAGGTGTCTAGAAATTGGTCAAGAAAAAGTAGATGTACTTCTCAACAGTTTGATTGTTTTTAAATGTTCCATATGGACCCAGTGTATCTGGAATAATACTTGATTGATGGATTAAATACAATAGGCTTGAACGCATCATATTAGGGTTGTGCAAAAATATCGATATATCGTGATACTAAATTTTTTTGACAGTATTGTTATTGTGGGCTGGCTGCGGTATCGATATATCACCAAGCAGTTTTAGCAGTTTTTTTGTGACTACGTGACAGTTTGGCTGCTTATTTAGTGGAATGAAACTTGCACTTGAAGCACTTGAAATACTGTTGTTAGAATGTATTTGTATATCGTGATATTATCATATCGTGAACTGTGTATCGAATCATGAGGGACTTCTCAGCCCTACTTGAAATTGTCAGTTTTTTCTTAACTGTTGTAGCTTTGACTGAAATGTTTCACAGTATGGCATTAAACTATTATCACCGGAGAAACGTGGGTGACGACATCAGGCGCATTGACAGGTCAGATCTGTTGGAAAGGCGACTCCACAGTGAAAAGTGTGCTTTTTTTTTTTATAGTAATAAAGACACATTTGAATAAATGTGTGAGAAAAGTTGCAGTTTTAAGATACCAATATTAGTGTCTTACTTTTCCCCTCATTTGTTTATTATTTGGAAACATAGCCTTAAGTAATTGCACATTATTGTGTTTAATCAATATGTAGAATTAAAGGTCCTATATTACTGTATTTTTCAGAGTATTTTTATTTTATTTATTTATTTATTTCGGTCACGGTATATTCATATTCATATAGTCATATTTAACATATACAGACCGAAAAGGTGCAGGCTGAAGCTTAAGCTTATTATGCCTACCCTTTATTCCTTTGTCAGAGCGTCGTCTTGACATCAGTTCATCTTCATAAATACAGCAGGAAGAAACAAGCTAATCAGTAACAGAACAACAAAGTTCTACAGCACAAACTAAGTCTCATATTTCATGTATCTGTCCAGAGTTAAACATTTAAACTTCTTTATGAAGTGAAAAAAAGTGGTGCACAATTTAAGGTTTTCTGTACAGTTGTTCCAGAGCTCCACTCCTTTAACAGATTTACAAAATTTCATAATGTTTGTTCTGATTTTCTTTTTAATAAACATGGTCGTGCCTCTGAGCTCATATTGGCTCTTTCGGATTTTGAACATGTTCTGTAACGATTTTGACAGGAGATTGTTGTTTACTTTGAACATGATTTTAAGAGTGTAAAGGTCGACTAAACCATAAAATTTCAGCGTTTGAAGGTTTATAAATAATGCATTGGTTGGTTCGTTATAAGTTGATAATGTGATGCTCTTATTGCCTTTTTTTGCAGGTAAAGACTGGCTTTGTATTCGCCTTATATGTATTGCCCCAAATCTCAATACCGTAGGTTATGTGTAGGGCATTACCAGCGAGTTATATATAATAAAAAGACTGTTATCACTTTGGATAATTTGTTCGGAATTGTATTTATGTGTGATTTCCAGTTTAAATTATGATCTATGGTTACTCCTAAAAATTAGAGTATAAGTCGTACCAGCCAAAAAATGCTTAATGAAGAAGAAAAAAACATAAGTCACACCGGACTATAAGTGGCACTTTTTGGGGGAAATGTATTTTATAATATCAGAGACCAGGAACTGACATTTTATCTTGAAAGTCAAATTCTAGCAATAACAACAGAAGAGAGAAGAACAGACTGTTAACGTCACATATGAACAGTTCTTCAGATAAACTATAACATAAACAACAGAACAGAACAAGTTTACCAAACTCTCCATCTCACTCCAAATCACTAAATCCATTCAATTCTTCATCCTCGGTGTCACTTCTGAACAACTCGACCTCGACCTCCGGAGGTAAACAGAGCGCCGCTTCCTCTTCTGTGTCGCTGTCGTCAGACTCAGCATCAGTTCCAGTTAGAATTATTCGGGTCTTTCTGAATCCCGACAGGATGGTTTCAGTGTCACTGAAGTCCAGACTTTGTCCATCCATCCAGTGACTTCAGGAAAGTTTCATGGTGCATCCTCCTGGAGTCACAAGTTTCTCTCTCACTCCAAACTTTCTTTCTGCTGCTCGATTAACGTTTTCAGCTGCAGATTTCACGACTTGTAGCTTGTAATCTGCAAAATATGATTTTCTTTTTGGAGGCATTTGTGTTCAGTCTTCTCAGTCGTCTTTATAAGTTTGTTTAATGTTAAATTTTCAGTAATGGTGCGATCGACTGACATGATACAGACAGAACAGAGGCTCTTTCTGCAGGAGACATGTGCAGTAGAGTGAAGTGACAGTGGTACAGGAGGAACAGGAGCAGCAGAGCCTCACACACAAGACTAGAACCTCTCACCACTTCAGTGTGAACATTTTAATATATAAGTCGCACCAGTGTATAAGTCACAGGAAACACCCAAACCATGAAAAAAAGTTTGACTTTGTTTGAAAAATACAGTACACAAAATTGACTCTTGTGAGCTTTAAGCCATGTTAGAATGCTTTTACCTCCCCAAAAACATATCCAGAGTTGTGTTTTTTGTTACATTAGTTGGAGTAGCCACTTTATCATTAGTCTGTCTACATCTCCAGAGCTCAAAATGCTCTGTTCCACCTTGTGATGTCATGAAGCTGTCGTTTTGAAGTTACCATTTACCTTTTATTCAACAGATTGACAACTAAATGGCTGAAACTATCCAAATGATTCTAGTGAAGGTGTGTAGTGTAAGAAGCACTTCCTGTATTACCACGTCTGTAACCTAGATCAGAAAATAGCGCGGTGTGGGCCCTTTTAAAGCATTCCACCAAATGTAGGGCCACTTATACTTATTCTGTTTCTCGTTTTTTTAGGTCTAAGTTGAACTAACAACCAATGCCACTGCGAGCCCTCCCCAAATTCAGTTACTAAGTTAAGGACTGAGCTGGAATGTGAAAATTCCTCCACCATTTGGCCTTGTTAGCTCCCCCTGCTCTGCTTGTCAGCGCGTTACGGGGCTGATACCGGACCATTTGATGCGGTGGTGCGGCTCTGCTCCGGCGCTGGTTATAAATAGCTGAGGTGGTGTGAAGAGTCTGCGGGGAGGTGTTTGATGTGATCTTCCGCCGGCAGAGCTCTTCACACCTCTGCTGTGGCCCCGCGGCGGACCCTGCGGTGTG